GTCTAACATGAAACCCATTCTATGGTAATAATAAAGACAAAATGTATATAAATACACAGAATATATAGTATACATATAACAGCTGACTTAGAACAATTCTGATTGAAAATATGTTCGTTTCATGATGTGTAGAATCTATAATAACAAAATCTATAAAAACATATATTTAATAAAATGTAAATTAATCGTATATTTCTGAATAAATACATATTTGTGCTAGCTGCATGTACTATGAAATAATAGAAAGTTAATTAAAATATATTATATTGTATGATTTTTCTACAAAAACGTTTACAAATATAGATACTTTCAAAAAAATTTCTATACTTTGAATGAAAATGAATAAAATAATAAATTAAATGAAAAAATTAGTGAATGAAATAATTTTGAGGAACTTTAATTAAATATTTTTACTGTTTTACACTGATTGCATCATATAACATCAACATCGTAAGACGTGTTTTTTAATAGATACCAAAAGTGTATTACGAATAATTTTTAGAAATGTTAACTCAGAAAATTATACAAATTAAAATTATTACATTACACTATATTACATTTTAATTACTTTAATATAATATTTTACCTATCTAAGTTAATTAATTATTTTTTAAAATAAACGAGATATTTAGTGATCATAAATAATAACAATGTTGTATTATATTGATATAATATTTGTAAAATAATTGATCATAATACATTTTTTACATATTTATGCATCTATAAGTGCATATTTTACATATTTGTTTGTATATTAATCCTAACCCTAGAAATATCAAATATTTTATGAGCAAGAAGTAATTTAAAAACTAAAATGTAATCTGTGTATTAAATAGCCTACTCCTAATCAATAGCGTCATTAGAGAAAAAAATGTAGATGATCACAATTAACATAATAAATTCTTTAAATATTTAAAGAAAGTATAAATATTTTTCATTCAATTATAATTATTTTAATTATACAAGTAATGTATTATGTAAAAAAATATATGTATGTTATCTACTCGTATGTGGTTCAAAATAAACTTAAATTCCATGTTTTGATTTAAAATATAAATAATAATACAATATTAATGTATTTCAAAACATTATAATTACAATAATATACATTTCATTTTTTTTTTCTAGTAAAAATTGTAAACAATACAATCTTTGGTTTCATAAAGTATGATCAAGTAAAGAAAAAAAATAATTTTGTACTACTACAAAGTTATTGAAATAAATTACACATACAACGTTTTTGTCGATTTCAACTTCATATTTTTATACCAGATTATTTATTGTTTATTTAACTTGTTTTATCTAATAATTTTTAATACGTATATTTTCATGTTTTTGTATACTGGTATATATTCTAATTCGTATAACCATGCAATGAATCATATATAAAATCGTGATCATTTCATTAGCATCAGACTATATCTCAAGAAACATGTTTATTTTCGATGATTTACGTTTTCACATTGAACATATATTTGTATACTTTTTATAAATAGTTTAAAAAAAAACTGATTTTGTACTTTTATTGTACTCCATATTATTTTATTAAGTCAGAAAAAGTTTCAAAGATATTTTATATCAAGAAATCATTTTTTTTGTAACGATTTCATTAGAACCGACGCCAAAAGTATCATCTTCGTTCAATTTTCTTATTATTCTCTTTGTTTTACTGTCTGGATGCTGCTGAATAAGTAGCAACTATAAAAAAAAGTCTCAAAAGTCAAAATAATAATAAATTATTGCTTAGATATTGTATTTAATAAATATCAACTTGAATACATTATGATGAAAAACATTCAGTTTTTTGGTGAAAATGTTCTTCATAATATATTTTCGGCTTAAATATAAACGTTAAAATATGTTTAATGTTAATATTTTTATTTCGAAACATTCTATTAAATAGGTACATAATAACTAATTTCTTATAAATATTAAATTGTGAATAAAACATTATTCTAAAAAACTAGGTATGGATATTTATAATTAATGTTTATGTTTAAGCATATAATACATTTTATAAATTTTTTAAAACACTAATTCATGATATAAAATTTAACTACGAAAAATAGCAAATTGGTGTGCCTAAAAATCATGAAATAATTAAAATTTCAAAACCTGTTTTATTCATTATTATTAGCATACTTTGGATATCCATAAATAGATAAGACCATTTATATAAAATAACCTATAGAATTAATGTATTATTGAATTATTAACCTAACTACAATGAATTATTCTAATTTTGGATAATAAGATTTCTCGATTAATGTGTAACGATAATTTCAACATTTATATTTAATGTAATCAGTGGTTTAGTGGAAGGTATACGCGGGTATACGCGTAGGGAATGCATTTATTCTGCAAACAGTGTAAATTACGACAGTACAAGACTGTAATTAGGCATTAATATTATCTATTGCACAGCGCTAAGTCGCTAAGTATATACTAAGCCATGGGTATACTAACCATAGAGTTATTTATAAATATTGTGGGAAAACGTCTATGTACCTAACTGATAAGACAAAAAAAAAATTAAAATATATAATAATATATATCCTAGAAGTATGATTGTAGACCATAAAGTCTCAATTACGGCAGGGAAGTAATATAGTGTATGTAATTATAATAAATATAAAACAATATTAATGTAGCATAAAGGAGTTATAGGGGATATGGAGGCAAAGCCCCCCCCACGTTTATATTTCAATTACATTTAAGCGTATACTCACTAAAAAAATTACAACTACATCACTGATTATTATTTCAAAAATCAGTAGATACTTACATTATAAACATATTAGCATTTTATACTTAGAAACATAAATAACATAAATAGGTTAAATTATTAAAAATAAAATAAAAATCTACGAAAAAAAAAATGTTAAATATGTATTATCTTATTGATAGCGAAAAAATTTAAGACATGTTTAATAAAATACTCGTATACAAACGTGCACATATCATTAAATCCTAAAACATATTTTATACAATTTCTAAAACTGGTTCAGCAATTCTATTTTATTTTTTACAAAAATAAAAATAATTTATTATAACCATACAAACTAAAATTATATAAAAAGACGAAATAGTATTCTATTTTTCATGATAATAACATAAATTTAAAATGTATTATAATTGTAAATCATAAAATTATATTTTATGATAAATTTAATTAAATATATTCTGCATTATAAATGTTGGATCAATAACTACAATTTACAATTAACCGTAGTAAACAAGTGTAGCATTAAAAATATGAGATACACAATAATAAATCATTGAATAGTCAGATAATTATTATTCCAATGCATTCTTCAAATTTGTATTTTAATAACAAAACGTCGATATGCATAATTTTATAAATTAACAATCATTGTAAACAATTGAAAAAAGTTTCATGCGTACCAACTCATTATTTTCTTTAAAATTTAATAATATAACAAAAACATTTTACCAACTAATAATATGTATTATAATTAAAATTATAAAACCCAATTATTTGTGGAGTCACATTATAACTTAATTTTTTTCTACATAATGGGCACTTTCTTTCTACACACACACACACATATTTATATATATATAAAGCCTTATTGGATGAAGGTCCCTCAAGGATTTTCTAATTTATAAACTGACAACTATTATACATATTTATTTATGCATATCGAGTATATTATACCTATGTTTATAAAATGAAATAACATGCATAAGCAACTTACTATTTTGAAAGTTACGAAATAGAGATATATATTATATGATATAATATGAATGTTATCGTTATGGACAAATGAAGTGGTTAAACTAAACCAGTGCAGACGTATTTATGATTTTTCAATTTTTAATGATTGATGGATGGAACTAAAATTGTATTTATTAGATACCACTTACACATCAATAAAACTTAATAATATGATGGTATCAATTCTTTCACTACCAACTTAGTTTATAAATAAATTGAAAATTAATAAATATAAGAATTTAACATGATATGTTTACAGCAAAAAATACACATTTTATAGTTGCCAAACAAATTACTATAAAATAATTCTTCATCAAACGTTTTTTAACAATATATTAAAAAAGTTTAGCACTTAAAAGTTGCAAATTTTACATAAGTTATTTAGCCCTATTCTTATACCAATATATATATATATTTATGTATAATACTTAATTTTTAAACGTATTAATAAATTGTATTCTTGTCAACGAGTATATTTATTTTTGTTATAAATATTTATGAATAATTTCAAAATATAAAATGTATGCATTTATTCTTTATTGTATAATTTCATTATTTGTATGGAGTACAATTTATGAAATTGTTTTAATGTTTGATGTTATAAATAAAAATATTTAAAGTATCACATTTTGATAAAAATAAAATATAATTGGATTTTACTTTAACAATGTTCATTAAACACAAATTTATATAAAATTTAATATACATTAACTATATAGACTAATTTTTATAACAACAAATAAAATTATTTGAACTCATAAAAACAAAAATTCACATAAACTACTAAATTTTATATTAATCATATTTTCAGTATGAAATTTTATTTTCTCTTCATAAAATACATTTTTTTTTAATACGTCAGATTAATAAGGATTAAAAATGCATAAATACTCGTACTAAGATTAAAGTGTTTTTAAATTCTTTACAATAACTATATATTTATTTGAAACATACATCAATTTATTATTGGATAAAGGTACAATAACAATTATGATTTAAAAATTATTGTTTGCACACTGAATATTTTTAGACAGTATTACAATATTTGACGTTTAATATTAGAAGTAAGTTAATAATAATTGTTGAATACGTAAGTGCACATGATATAGATATAGGTTTATAGTTTATTGTAGTAATTATATTCAAATATTAGAATTGAACACCCATTTAAAAATTGTATTATTAGTATTATATTATTAATTTATTCATTATACATTTATATGAACGGAAATGTATATACCATGTATTTATGAACACTTACTTTGGCTGATTGAATTGCTTCAAAGTTATGGTAAATTATTTAACATTGTAGTTAAAACTACGACTCAATTAAAATCGCAAAATTTAAAACACGGGAAAAATCGAAACGTAAAAAGCAACAATGATCGCAGCCGATCTCAAAACATCGGAAAAACGTATTTACGGTAAATGAAGACGAACGAGAGAAAACACCACCGAATACTGCCGAACACGCCACTCAACTGACGTAGAAAACCACGAGGAAATCTCGCGCATACCCGAACGTTAGGGGCTGTTGTAATATACTGGAGCGGTAGTGAGTGTGTCACAGAAAATAAAAACAGTATACAATATGTAATTGAGTTATTATTGTATTGAAAGGTACGGTTGATTATTTACAAATTTATATCCATAATATCATGATAAGATCATTTTTTTTTTTTTTTTGATTTATCAATTTATAACTCTTCCAATAAATTACTAATTAAATTCAATGAATAAGCATTAGACATCTACGCAATGATGTACCATAAATTCGAAAATAACAATTTAACTCAGTCATAATATATGATATATCAACTATAATTTTAACATGATAACATTTTAATCACCAATGTAAATATTAAATTATTATTATTATTATTACATTATGGAAGCTAGTTGGCTTTAAAAAGAAAATTAAATTATACCAATCACAATCAAAATAAATTTGTTTTGTCAAACTTGAAATTTAACTAAATACAAATATATTTTTAATACCTTTTATTATTATAACCCTAATTAATAAGTAAATACAGTCTCTTTTTTCTTATATTTACACATTTTTGCAAAACAGAGAAGTCAATAATAATAATATTATGGCGTTGTACAAATACAAATGTACAGGCGGGTTAATATTTTATAATACATTACGACTACGGATCAACATAAATCTTTACTCAGTATGTATTGTTATCACATTATTTAGTTATTTAATTGTTTATTGTATTATAATCACAGAATTATTACTCTTACACAACAATTTTAATAGAACAATACCCTGCTATGGCAACTACTACTACTAACTACTACGTAGTATATTTTATGGTAGGTATACAGAACACTTCATATTTATTGTTTAGAATATTGGCGTAATGGTAGGTTAATACTGTTAGAAAGTACAATAAATTGATGAATGTTTGATTATATTTATGTACCTGCTCATTAATATCTCAACACTTCATTATTTCCATACATAATGTATTCAACAGTAAAAATATTTATTATTAATTATTACAGTTAATTTTAGAACAAAATTACAAATGGCATTTATACATTCAATTGTATGCAGAATATGACTTATATTTATTAATTTTATTTTACTTTGAATTAGATACAATTATATGACACAAATTTTAAAATAATACAGCCTAAATTTAAGGTTTTTTAACATAAACGTAAAATATATTAAATATATATATTTGAATCTGCGGTTCTATTGATATCTAAGGTACATTCGATAAATGGCATAAAATCCTATTATCGTGTTAACATTTTTTATACACAATACTTAAAACTTCTTTTTAAATATATAATACCTACCGAAAACGTTATAAGTAATCATTGTAATAATATGATTATTGAGATATAACTATATAAGAGTATACGAGTAAAATGCAACGTCATTGCTTTGATTTTACTAAGGTACTTTGAATGTAAAGGATCCTTAATCACAAGCTATGTAAATGTATACATTGATTGATTGATTGATTGATTGATTAAAAACTTTTTTCTACATGAGAATGCTTATGTTTTGTAGTTTAAAAAAACAAAATTAAATTTATTATTATAAAACTACAATTATAAATTATAATATTACTTTTGAATAAAATATCAATGAAAAAATAATTTTTATCATGCAAAATGCAAATGATACACATGTTTTTAAAATTACATCTAAACCTTTCACCCTTTAAAATTCTTTATTAAAATTTATAGTTATATTCCATTTATTTTTTGAGTGTGGGAGATATTCAAATAGTATTTGACTATTATAATTTAAACAATATACAGCAAAAAACATTTTATATTCTATCTTTATCATTTTTTTAAATAACATTATTGACACTTTTAAGACTACCTTACGCCCTATAGTTGTTATATTACCAGAAAGTGAACATTTTGTCACGTAATTTAACTTTTCTTCATTCACCAATCTATCAAAATTTAGTGGTTTAATGTTTATTTTCCATACAGCTTATTCGAATTTGATATTGTTTAAATAAATCTTATTTAGAAAGTTTTAAATATTTATTATAGCTGAGCTGTGAATTTAACTTAATTAACCATGATTTTATAGTAAACATAAATCACAAACAATACAAATTATTTTAGAATTCAAATCCTTTTAAAGACCAAGTACAAATATACATTTGTGACTACCGCATATAAAACTATATAAGTGTACATACGAAGTATTATAATATCATATAGCCATGAAATAACTAACTTGTACACTCACATAATATTGTTAAGCAATATGTATTTCAATATTACAGAAGCATAAAATATGTACCTATGACATGTATTTTAAACACACCCATCTGAACACCAACCATTTGCTATATTTATGAACTGCCGCTTGCGTTTACCATATGGTGTTTAAACTTTAAACACCTATATATACATGTAGTATTGATGAGAATTAAAACCATCGAAAATTATCTTGAGACGTTAAACGTACGCACTAAATTTATAAAATAAAAAACGATTACCCACACTCATGCAGAACGTTAGGTACGTAGAATATCACCATCTATTCGTTTGAATTAATTTCGATATTAAACATTATTATATCTTACCTGTTTATTAATATCATATTTCTACAGACTTGTTTCATTTATACACTCGGCTACATTTTAAAGTTGATAAAATAATTGCCATCAGCTGTGACCCACACTATAACCCTATTTTATCACCCTTCCCACTCTCTTTGTGGAGATCTTTTTCTATCTTTTCAATTCTCTCTCGATTGTCTCACTTGCAATATCCAACTTCCCCGCATCAGCATCCTCTTTGTCACAGTTCTGTGCACAATAATTTCCATTATTAATGACGCCTCGAGCTTCTTTAGTTACAATTATATGGCATTATTAATTTATTTTTAATTGAATTTAATCGATTTGTTATGAAACTTGTTTACTCTAATAACAAACGTTCTATAATATTATAATAAAAAAATCGATAGAATTTCGAGTTCATTTCTATTTATTGATTTTTTTCATATTCACTGTTTTTTTTTTTTTTAAGTTAATAATAATGACAATAAATCACAAATTAAATAGATACAAATTTATTCGAAATAAATAATATTTTTTATATAATATGCATTTTTACTTTATTATTTTACTGTTTCTATGAATTTTCTCAATTTTTTGTAATGCCTACTTAATAATATATTACTGAAAATTTAAAATATATATATACATATATATATATATTCATTAATATCAAAGATTTTAATAAAACAACCTCTGATTTTTGATAATTTTTTTATTTCAAATGTATCTACATAATTTATAAATTAGTTTTTAATTTACCCAAAATAAAACAATAAAATTTGAGCAATATTTAGAATTTAAAATTTTATATTAAATAACAATTGCTCATTTTTCAATAAATAGGTATAACGTATTCGGTATTCAAGATCTATCTAATTTATTGTAAAATTCCAATATTTGTTAAATAATTTATTGTGGGTGAAACAACCCAATAATATTATAGATAAAGAACACATAGTTATTACTTATTATATTATCTAATTGGTCAGGCTCTATATAAAAAAAAAACATACCTATTTATATTGATAACAAAAACTATTACCTAAGATAAATACGCATTGGACTGTTATAGGAAATATATTCCACAATTTTCCAGTGGTTAATACTCTTAATTTTCTGCTCCGCTTATTCTTAGTTATATACTTATAAAATATAGCCATAAATAATATAACATTTATTGCACTTACATACCATGTTAAGTTTATTGGTAGCATAAACCCGGTTTATGGTAACTGAAAATCAATAACATCCATATTTTTATAACGAAACTGATACAATTGAAATTAAAGTTTAATTTTGACAAGATAACAAGTAGAATATTGAATAATATAACATAAGTAACAAAGTACCTATATGCTGTATAAACCAGGGTCCTCTAAACCTTTTTACTCGAAGGATAGTTTAAAAATTAACCTCCCTCCTCTCAGAAATGTATTCTGAATATGGGCCTTTTACTCGTCTTGTGAATTGTGTTAGATACATCCTATATGATTATAAGTTGCATAATATTATACACTACAACTACATTATAGGTACCTACGCACACACGTTACACGGAAATTTCATTCGCTCGAATATTTTAAACTTACGCATAACCATGTATAATATTACTTGATATGCTTTATACGACCTTCTATAGGCTATCAACTCGTCGTCTAATCATAATATTGTTCTATGCCACAATAAGACTATCCGACCGTCGATTCATAAAGAGATATGTATATTCAGGAGATATTATGAAATATAGTGTTGTCTCACTGAAATGACAAGCGCGCGTTATTTGATTATTATTATTATTATTTGTTTTCATTAATTTGAGCACAACAATGATTTTATTATCATTCATCACCAGACACATGTTCGTTAATTTTATGGTCCGGCGCTAATTTCCCCACCTTCTTTTAGTATTATAAATTCCGATACAAATTAATTATGCGCGGTGTCATGGTATAAAGTAAAATAGAAAAAAAAACTGAAAAACAAATTCAATCAGGAAAAGTTAGCACACTTTATTACCGACGAACACGATCACAGTCCTCAGGATACATTGCTTAAATCGTTACATATAATAACGAAATGAAAAAAAAAAGTTTTCCAATAAAATACAATAAACCTAAATACGCACATACAATAATTTACCATCGACGCCAATCGCATCCAAGCCTTCTAAATACTTAAAACTCTATCTCTTGAATATAATACTTTAACATACGGGATGATTACAGCAGCAACAAATAAAGAAATACGACGCCTATTTAATCAAAAAAAATGGTTGGATTATGAACATAAATTATTTCAATATATATATATATATTACCAATTTCAAAGTTAGCTATATAATACTATGTAACAACTATGAGGATCCACATAATCTTATGCATTTATTTGAAGAAATTGATGCAATATAAATTGTCAGTCTACCCGCACCGAGCCTGGTCTTATTGAAAGAAATTAAACTTATGTGTTAATTTTCACCGGTCTGTTCTGGTTATTGTTGATAATGAATTAATTCAAATTCTGATTTTTTTGAATTTTTAAATACACTTAAAGATAGATTTCCTATATGACTAATTAAAGTGTATTCTATTACGATACAAATTTCTGTTTTTCCGAGCGATAACGTAAATTATTAAGTAAATACTTTTTTTAAAAATGTACATAATTCAAAATTTGTATAAGTGCTTTTTCAGTTAAAAATATTTATACTAAACATAATACTATTTAAAATAAGGTTTTACAAAGATATAAAATAATATAAATATTGGATTTAGCATGTATTATACTTGAACCATTTTTACAAATTATAAATTTTGATAGATTACTTAAATTTTCAAATCTTTATACCTTCGAAATCCATTTATATGGATTTATTATTCTTAGTAGAGGTGAGGACACAAAGTTAAATAGCTCAAAAACTTCAGTTCAGTAGATATTTAAAAATTAGTGAGCTTGGTGAATCGTCCTAACCAACTAACAACTACCTACTCAATGAGGTATTAGAATTGCTAACTAAATATATTTGCTAACTTTTTTATTATCCCTTCCTTATAAATGTAAATTTTTTAAAATAGCAATAAATTGAATTTATGTTATATGTTTAAATACTAAAAATAAACAGTTATTTACTAATTTTCAATAAACAATAGCAATCAATGCATAATTTATAAAGATATAAATAAATTCAATATTGAATAGATACTTAAGAAGTAAAACTAAATTTTTAATAATTACAAAATAAGGTCAAATTGATATATTATCATGTTAATTATTAAATAATAATTATATTATATAAGTATCTATATTAATTATTATTTATAATTATAGAAAAAAAATTTCCATACAATAATGTAACACCTTAAACAATCTCCCGATACCTATTATATTTAAAAAATATACCATGAAACAGTGGCGTAGCCAGGGAGCATTAGCCCCCCCCCCTGAAAAAATCCTGACTATAAAAAGTATGTATTTATTGTTTAATTTCAATATAAATGTATGTAATAATATTTCTAATAAAAATATGCTATAATAATAATATTGCTTTTAATATGTACATATAATATAATAAATCGCTATACATGTGTGCATTTATTTTTTTTTTTAAATTAGATATTGCGTAGAGCCACTAATCAACATAAGTCTTATCTTTATTGCGATACTGTACTTGAGTGTACTATCGCATGATAATCATCAGAAAAACTTCTTAATTTATTATGTGGTAATAGCAACATACTTATTTTTATATATTTTTCATAGAATTATACACTAGAGACATGTATCTTATCTTAATTAAAATTAAAAATTCGTGATAGAAAGCTCCAAATTTATAAAAATTCGTTCCATTGCGAGAGTTTTGATCAAAAACGCTTCGCTACATCGAGGGGACCAAAATACATTACATTTGTTCGTTATACCGCGATATTTTCAAGGGACCGGTAGTTTTATTCGTTATATCAAGATTTTCGTTATATAGAATTTCGTTATATCGCGAGTTGACTGTATATGCAGGTTAATCAATGTTGTTAAATTAAAATACTTATAATAATTTAAATTTAAACAATTTATTACTCATAAAATAAGTATTACATACATTAAATCCCAATCAAAATATTAAAAATATTATTTTAAGAACCCAACAATAATTAATGTTCCCCAGTAAATAAAATTGTATTAAAAATAATACATAAATAATACAATCTTTTCAAAAGAATATAGTAAGATTTTATAAAGACTAGTTAACATTATCACAACACCAATTTTGACTAATTCAATAATATGAAAATCAAAACTAAACATTAAAAAAAAAATTGTTTTTAAATAAAATAGTAAATAATTAAATTAGTCCAGCTAAAAGGTATTTTGATAATTTAAAAGCATGCACAATATAATACTAAATTAAACATAAATTACAAAATGAAAGTAATAATTTTGATAAAATAACTAAAATAAGTTAACACATTCAATGCATTAAAAAAAAAATTAGTTTCAGTGATTATTAAGTATTCAGACTAATATACATAATATAATATTTATTTATTTTTATTTAATAAAAAAAATAAATAAATATTTATATTTATTAAAAAATCTGCCAATAATAAACTGTAAAAATGAGATCATTATTTTAAATCACCCCATGAAGAACCCTTTCTCAATTTCACTGGTAAAGGTACACATAGATTAACCGCAGACTCCATTGTTTTGATAATTGTTGAACAAGCTTCATCAAGAACTGTATTTTCAACCTAATAACATTACAAAATACCTCAATAATTTAATGGTATAATATAATTATAAAATGAGAAAACTGTTGTTGGTACAATGTGAATATAATACTTACATCAAAAATTAGTTCATCGTGCAAATGCATAACTAAATGTACTCGTGAATTAAAAATACCTTGATTAATAATTTTATCGAGTTTAATCATTGCCATTTTTGTAACGTCAGCAGCACTTCCTTGAATAATTGTATTAATTGCTTGACGTTCAACTTGAGCTAATAAAAATGTACCATGAAATTAATATTAAAATATATATTTTATTATTTTATAAATATAATACTAAATAAATAAAAACATACATTTTATCTTTGGTACTTTACTATTAATATCTGGAAAATGTCTAATTCGTCCACTCAATGTCTTTACCAACTCCATTGATCTGCATTGTGTCAGACATTCATTAAAATATTTGTTAACACCAGGAAATGTACTTTTGAACTCTGATATTAGTTTATGTGCTTCATCTTGAGTAATATTCAAAGTTTCACTTAGAGCTACTGCACCCATTCCGTACAACATACCATAGCAAACTTGTTTGGTTTTTTGCCTGAGTTCATCACATACCTGAAGACACAAAATAAAAATATATTCTTAGCACATAACTGAATGTAAGAAATACAATTATATTTGTACACAAACCTCAATCTCTGGGATATTATGCCATTTGGATGATAAATTTATGAAAACGTCACCAGGAGATGTAAGAGCAGATAACAATATTGAATCCTTAGATAAATGTGCAAGTATACGTAGTTCAATTTGACAAAAATCTACCGATACCAGTGTTTGATCTATAACATGTAAATATTCTAAAATTTAATTTTATTGCTTTGATATTTTTTAATGTATACAAAACTAATTTAAAACTGTATAAATATAAATTAATTTATAGTAAATTGACACTGCATTTTCTCTCTTTAAAAAAAAAAAAAAACACTGTATACCTAATGGTAGTTTTTTGCCAAAAATGTAGTTCTATTTTCAACAGAATCAATATGAAAATATTAAATTAGTCATGGGAAAAAAAATAGGTATAACATAACCTTGCGGCTAATTATGTAAATTATGTACTGTATCATTCTTTTTTTTGTAAGACATTTTATAACGAGAAACAATATTAAAAAGATTACTAATTACTAATTAGTAATTAGATTAAGCCTGGAACATAGATTATTATTTTTATTTTTTTTATTGGTCTTGAAATTTATACAATTTCTGCTTCGACAACTTGGTCATTAGCATATTTTGTAGGGGTTATGAATTGTAGGTAGAGGCATTGATTATTATTCTATAATCAATGGTAGAGGTAAGGTTGGTACAGTAGGTTGTTTTTACAATTGTTATGGTTGTTATGGTTGATAGCAAACACATGTATGTGTGGCAAGGTTTTTAACCACTATGAATCCGGGTGGTCACCCATCCGGGAACTAGTAGTTGTGACTATTACTTACTCTCAGTCGCATTTCGCGATTGGTAGCAGCCAACACGCCATGCCAAGCCACACATAAATTATTGTATTTTAATAATTGGTTATTTCTTACTACCAATAATAATAATATAATATTTATTGCTCCTCAAAAAAATCCAAGAAAATTAACCAAATTGTATGAAAGTTAGGAACCCAATGATTAGATGATAAGAAAATGTCAAAAACAATATAATATAGTCAATTTGTCTATACAAAATACTAAGCAGCTTCCAAAAATACAAAACATTAATCAAATAAGAAATTTAATAATTTAAATTTTTCTCGACTTATTGTGTGGAAGTTACGTAGTGACAATTATTAATAATTAATATACAATAATAATATCAATGAAACTGACCTGATTTAGGCACAAATGCTGATCTTAAACTTAATATTTCATTCTCAATTATGTAGTCTTTAGGTATATTTTGTAAATTGGGTTCATGCATACTTATTCTACCAGTATTAGAATATGTATTGCTATCACAATAAACACGATCATTCTGTTCTTTTAAATACATATTTATATGCTACAAAATGAAAAAAATTAATAAGCAAATGTTCTAAAAATATTTACTTTTTCTATACTTACAGTGTTTCTAAGACAACTTAATTTTCGCCAATTGTGAACCAATTCAACTAATAAATGTGGTGAGCTATCAGTTAATTTCAGTTTTTTTTTTTACCTATTCAACAAAATCTAAATAATGAAATCTATTGTTAAATAAAATAACTGTTAACACTTACTTTAGCCCATTCTAATTTGGATTGCATGTTAAACTTGATTCCAGATTGTTCAAACCCTTGTTTAGAAATATTAGCCATTAGCTTATTTACTGTATCATTTAACTCTACCAAATATTCTTTGTTAAAACCAAAGCCATACAATTCCATTTTTGCCAATATAATTTGTATAGGCATCTCTATATCTAATATCAAATTAATAATTAATAAATAATTGTAATATGAACTTGATGTAAATAGTTTTACCTTTAAATGTTTTATAAATATATATTTTTTTAAGCTGATGTCTTAAACTTGACATTAATTTATGGGTGATAAATGCATTAAAAACTGCATCATTAGTTTGTATATTTCCTTGGAAGTTTAAATTCCATTGAATCTAACAAACATTTTTTTGATTAATAGAATTCAATTATGAATATATTTAGTCTTACAGATAAACAAAAACATTTTTAATGTAAAAATAGTAAATAATGGTGTACATGTACAGACAAAGTATACAATTTGAGTGTTTTCTACAATACTTGGGTATAATATAAAATGTCTTTCGTTTATTGGGAAATGTATACATAATATAATATTTAATCATAAACTATAGTCAAAATATGATGAATAACGGTTTATATTTATACTACAATAAATATTATTAAAAAATATAATATTTTTTTATTTTTATACCACTGTTGCATGTATTGATATATTGCTTCCCTAGAATTTTGTTGTGCAGTAACTTCACTGCTTTGCACTTGTATTTTCTTGTTTTCATTTTTATATATACGTATATCCGCCGTAGCCCTAACCACCCAGATTATAAAATTTCCATGTTGTCTACCAGAGTGAAATTTTTGTTTGTGGCACATCGTCAACTTTCAAAAATCTTTCTTTGCAAATTAAAAATTATATATGTTACTTATAATTTGTAGACTACCTCATTATAAGAAAACTGATAAAAATACACAAAATTACTATATTTTCTAATAATATAAATATTATAGTACAAATATACATATACATCATTATTTATTATATTTTGATTATACTTTATGATTAAATATTATATTATACATAAATTTCCCAATAAACAAAGGGCATTGTAAAAAACGCCTAAATTGTATACATTACCCGTAATAACATATACAAATTACCAAGTTATCCAATGAATTTTTTTGTTGACCGTTTATTAACCAATCAGCAACAAAAGGATCTCTGAATTTGCAAACAGGATTGATGTTGCAACATTGAGAGATAATTTTGTAACTTAATTTAGCATCAGTTATGTTAACAGTTAAATTTTTATTGGATAACAGCTTTTTCAATAAACTTAAACCAGATTGGCCTATTAAAAAAAAAAAAATAATATAGCAATTTGTATGTTATATTAACATTGTTTTACAATAAAAATAAACATACCAGTCTTATTAAAATCTACATAATGCACAACTGTTTGTTTATACCACGTAATAGCAAATCCATTCAATACTTGGTCATTAAATTTAGATAATTTTGTATTTTTATTATTTCCTAAACTTCGTCTAACAATTCTAGCACCAATTTTATGTTCTGTATTAATTTCTTTAGATACATTTAAAGCTAATGTTATTTCTTTTCTGCGTTTAATATCTGGAAAATGATCTCGGGCAAACAAATCAATATTTTCCATTAGTTTAGTTTTATAAGCCAATGTGTCAAATTTTGAGTTGGCATTAGCATTAGATTTAATTGGAGATTCTCTAAAATAATAATAAAAAATAACTATCAGATACATCCATACATAAATTATTTACACAAAAAAATAAAAACTAATCATAGTTATAACTTGGGGGGAGGCTTAAGGAGACTGAAGTCCACTCATATTATGATATTATCAACTAAATTTTTGCTAATCAATTTTAAAAATATTATGCTTAATATGAATTTAAATTAAATTAATTATTAATTATACATAAGTATGAGGGTGACTATATTATGCCAAAATTACATGATTAACTTTTGATGATAATTTAAGATTATCCACAGTAAATGAAAAATAAACAGTGTACAAATAAAATTATCATCCACATTAAACAATGAATAAAATTGATCAATGTTAAACTCTTTTTTGCTTAGAGTAAATCATTATTATTGAATTATTGAAAGTGAATTGTGTAAACGCAGTTTCACTATATCTTATTTTGCTGTCAAAAAATGTCTAGACTTCAGTTCCTTAACTTAAAGGCCTGGTTACATGCATATAACTAGCAAAAAATCATACTTGCGAGGAGATGGTCCACTAGATGAAGTGTCTTGGGATCCTGCAATCATATCTTCAGAGTCAGATATAGTTAAATCATTACATGTCATGATAACATCATTACTCTTTTTAGGAGATATTATCGTATTTGACATTGAATTAAAAGAATTTTGAAATGCCCTTTGTATTACAGTTTTACTCATTTCTGTAGATATTTTATTCAAAGTTGTATTCATTTTTCCATTACTATTCAATAGTTGATCAAGCTGAGTATCAATTCTTAATGAATCTGGAAACATTGTACTTTCAAAATAATTACTTGTCTCAGGAATTTTACTGCAACTTGTTGAGGGTTCTTCAATTTTTTTTAATTTTGGTAGAGGTTCTATGAAAATATCACTTAAACTACCATTATCAGTTTGAGAGTCTTCTTCTCTTTTACGTTTTTTGGACCCAACATCTCTTTGACTCATTTCTAAAATAATTTCTCCACCAATATTACAATCCCATTTCTCTTCTAGTTCTTTTGGTATCTTGATCAACTCGGCTAAATATGAATCACTAATTGATTTATTACTTAGATTATCTGAATTATAATTTTGACAAACATTTACAGTAATACTAAATTTAGTATGTTCAAATGACCCTTCAAAAAGATCCAAGCTTTCTCTCTTATAATCTTTGTTAGTAACTTCTTCTGTTTTAATGATTACACTATCAGATTCACCAAATAACTCATCACTTTTTGATGAATTTGATAAATTTTGAATAGAAACATTTACTAAAGATTTCGCTGAATTGTTACTTTCTTGACTATTTTCAATTACTGTAACATCTCTTGACGTAGGACGTATCTTCACAGTAGTATCTAAATCTTCTTCTTCATTGTTGTTATCAACCCAACTTGCTGATTTAAGACCAAGTTCTCTCTATAATACAAGAATGAAATGAAATAGTAAATAATGTTATTAGATACTTATTCAATATTAATTCTTTAACAATTTATTCAATAAAAACTAAATAGGACATATTACCTAGATGTCTTTTTCTGTTTTTGACAAGAGCATTACATCACAAATTTTCATTTGGATTCATTAATTTACTAGAGTAAATTTACTTATTATTAAACTAAAAGGTAACAACATATTTTTCTGAAGATGATTTTCAATATTCTGAAGTCTGTTATATGTAGGTAAGTAAAATATTACAATTTTAAAATGTTTACAACTTATAACTAATTAATTTAATAACTGATTTAATATTTGATGTAATTTATCCAAACTATAAATCACATGAAGTTACTCTTATGACAGACAGGATATATGAAAATATACAATAAATACTGTACATGCCTGATGGCACACATGAATAAAGTAATTGCACAAATTTACAAATATTGTGACAAATTAGATGGCCAATACCCGGAGACAGTTAAAACAAGATACAAGACAGAAAGATTAACAAAATAGATTACAGTTTTAATCTGAATCGATTCCACTTCATCTCAAATAATCAACACATTACTAATAAACATTATAAGTATATGATAGCATTTAGATTTATTATATTTGTTTATTTAAACTTTGTAAACAACTATCTACACATAAATACTTTTAAAAAGTATCTTTTACAAGACATTATACACTTATAAGACTTGTGTTACAACACACGCCAGTGAAATACTGAGACTTCCTTTTAAGCCTGAATATTCCATTGAAGTTATATTTCTAGTAATTGTTCAAATTATAAGACAAACAATTATTGGTTTAAAAAATTTGTTTAGTACATTATACATTGAATCTTACCTGCAAAAGATGTCTTGCTTCATTTATAATAAATATAGCAGCTTCTTTTTCATTAAGAGCAAAACGTCCAGCCAACCAAATATTTTTTCGTAAATCTTCATCATCAGTATTATTATTATTCACATTACTAAAATAAAATAAATTAAGTTTTAAATTTACTCACAAGCTTTTTAACTGTACTTACTTTTGATATGGAATTGCTTTAGTAAGGGTACGCTGTACTAATCGCAAATCAGCTAATGCTAGTTCAGGAATATTTTGTATTCCTGCATTATACAATGCTCGAGCAGTAATTGAGTTTAGACAGTCCAATCGTAACAACTCAACAAGTTGTCTCTGTACACCAAACTGTAGTCTTTCAGAAAATTGTGATATTAACAATTCTAAGGAGGACCAACCAAGTCTCTTACAGAACTGAGTTACCATGCCTAAACAAAATAAAATGTAACGAAACCTATAAAATTAAAACATTATGATTAATCTCACCAGCAAAAGTAGAAGATGATTGTTGAAGACTTTGCAAAAGACCTTTAGATGTACCATATTTTAAAACTACAGTGTTAATGGGCACTTCATTTATTAAATCATACAGTAGAAGTGATGTATAAAATCGTCTATGAACAGCCAATTTATGTTTCTAAATACATATAAAATTAATTAACTATGTTTCAAACATTAAAAAAATATGCCATTAGATCAATTTAAATGTTATGCAAACTAGGTTAGTATTTGTGCAATGTTATTTTATAATACATATTGCAAACTTAAAATATTTTAATAACTTTTCAGTTTTTGTCAACTTCATATAAAATACATTTTATTGCCCTAAAAAAAAAAAATAAATAATAACATACGTCTGAAGATGTACTAAAACTGGTTCCAGTCATTGCTTTAACAATGAATCCTTCTTCAATACCAATCATGTCTCCTACTTTACGCATAGAATTTGGTAACTTTTCCCACACTCCTAGAACTCTAAACCAATCCAAATGTCCAATCTGATCACTCACTGAATATGGTGTAATCTAAAATATGATAAATTAATTATTTTTATTTACAACCATATAATATTTAAAAAATAATCTATCTTACTAAATAAAGTAAATGAAGTTCAGAGTCAAGGACAAAATTTTGTCTTGCTCTATCTAGTTCTTTAATCAATTTTAGACCAATTTCAGGTGTAACAGATGCAGCAAGACAAGCTTGACCCAAATTAGTGGGAGCTAATTTATTGTCACTTTCTCTTACAAATTGATGTTCAATTAATAATTTTAGACATTCATGGATTTGAGTTTCATTTACTAGAAATATTTAAAATCCAACTCATAATAAATTAAAAACATTAAATTATTATGATAAATTCTTACAGTTTTCACCATTAGATATATAAAGTAATGTACACTTAATATACTCAAAAGCTTCTTCTATGGTACAAACAATACAACCGGCAACTACTTCCAATAGTGCCCGTTTTAAGCAGTTAGAAAAATCTCCAACTCCTAAACAACTTTTAATTGGAGGAAGATTTTGAGTAGCAATTTCTTCACCCATTTGTCGTTCATTCTCATTACATATTAAATAACTTTCTCCTAAAATAAAAATAAAATATTTAAAATAACAATAAAATTCATAAAATGTATGTTAACAAACCAGCAGTATCAACACCCATACGACCAGCACGTCCAATCATCTGTCGATACTGTAAAATATCAATAGGAAATCCATGGCAATGTGGTGATCTTACAATCACTCTTCGTGCAGGCAAATTGACACCAGAGGATAAAGTTGATGTGGCAATTAATACTCTCACTATATTTTGCTTGAATGCACCTTCGATTATGTCCCTTTCGTCCATTGTAAGACCTTAACAAAATTATTAATATATTTAAACTTAAATATGCAAATTAATAAGTTTTCACTTACCTAAATATTAATAATTAATAAAAAAAATAGTCAAAAAATTATACCAGTCAAGTTTGAAGAAAATATTTACATATATTACATATGTATTACTTAACAAATCATTTCACAAAAATTTAAAATACACATATAAACCAATAACTATTTATATATATTATTAATGACTTAAATAAGCAACAAACACAAAATTTGCTATAGTTATTAAAAAGAAATATAATAAAAGATCACCTGCATGATGAAAAGCAACACCAAAAGAAATGGTTTTACTTAAATCAGTTTCAAGACCAACGGGACATCTCCTAAGCTGCTCCAATACATCTCCTAAATTTTCACCATTTAATTGATTCCGTAAATCAATTCCAACTTTTGATTTATTAACTCCACCTTAAATTAATATAGAGCAATATTTCATTTTTATTATCATTCTTCAATTCTTCAATTAATTTAAAAATAAAAGTGAACATAGTTACCTAATCGTTTAATTTCAGAAGCAATTTCAAGAGCTAAAGATTCGCACCATTTTTTTGTGAAACAAAATATTAATATTGAATATCCTTGAAGAATTGTATCAATACACAAATATTTTATATCATCTGGATCATTCTAAATACAAAATTATAAATATTTATTTAAAATATAGTATGATTTAAGCAATACAATTTAATATTTATTATTTATTACATTAATTGCAACACTGGGTTCAATTGTGTGACTTAAAGAAAGACTGTTGGCATTATAAACATTTTTTCCAATTTTTAAATATTCCTTTAAAGGAACTGGGCGAAAATTTGTCTGATATAGTGTAGCATCTAACCATTTTGCAAGCATTTCTAAATTTGGCAATGTAGCAGACATACCAACAATTTGAATCGTTATATTACTTCTTCTGTAATCAAATATTTAAAATATATATATATATATCTGTAGGTATAAATAAGTAAATAAAATATGGTTTTAATAAGTCCTTACATTTTAGACATGTATTTAATTTTTGTTAGCAATAATTCTAGTAGGTAGCCTCTATTTGAATCCCCTAGCATATGTAGTTCGTCTACAACTATACAACCGACATCTTGCAATCCATCCTCCTCCATCAGGCTAAAATCAAAATCATTATCATCAATTGTATAAGAATTAATTTCTACTGTATAACTTACCGATTTATTAAACCATTAGCTTTTTCAATAGTAGCAATAGCAATATTTACAGAACGTAATCCACCTGTTGGAGTATAACTGCCCATAAATCCAGCAACTCTTTTGTTTGTTCCTTCAAATAATTCCTATATTAAGTAATTGAATATTATTGACCACTAATTTAATACAACTATAAAAATAATTCAAAAAAAAAGTTTACTTGGAAATATAACATTTTTTCTCGTACAACTGATACAAATGGAAGGATTATTAAAACTTTTTTATCTCTTTCTAGTACTGTCTGCATTGTTAATAATTCAGCTACCATTGTTTTTCCTGAAAATATAACAATGGTTAGTAAAATATATTATACAAAGATCATAAACTACTACTGAACTATATTAAAATTAAAAAAATAGCCATAAGATTACAAAAACTATCAAAATTAAAAACGTATAAAATTTAATAAATAAAATCTTTACCAGCTGATGTAGGTGCTGAGTATACCAAATTGCGTCCATCCAAAACACCATCACTCGTTAGACATTCCACTTGCCAAGGAAACATTGATACAATACCTCGTTTTTTATAGTTCTAAAATTAACAAAATATTATTTTACATTATTATGACCAATGTTAATGAATGAAATATAATTACAAAGATTCCATACCCACATGTGTGTTGTTTCTATCTTACAAATGTACAACATTTAAAATTCAACAGAACCAATATAGGGTTGTATTATCAAACTTAAAGGTAAAAATCTTATCTATGTTAATACATCTCGTTTTATAATGATATTTAAATTTTCAAATTAGTTATGGCTATACAAAATATTACAATTAAAAAATGCTTATAACTCAATTAAATATTGAAATATCGTAAGAAATTCAAAATATAAACATATATAAGGTTCTAACTTTAGATTATAAGAGGATTCTATTTCTAGACAGTCTCTCTCCTCATACTATAATATCATGTAAATATTCTCCACATTATATTTTATCCTATTTGCTTAATAAACATGTGTTACAGTTACAAATTCTTTATTTTAATAAAATAAAAAAACTAAATTATATAATAGTAGATTAATTTACTTTAATATTAAAGTTAACAACAAAAATTGGTTCTACTAATTTGCTAAGTTTGTATGTTTGTAAGAGAGTGACAACATGCACAACATGGCGTTCCTTTAAGTATAAAATATTTACTTCTACAATTTGGACAGGCAAACCCCACGAATCAATACTGCACAAATCATCGGCCATTATAGTTTTTTGTGTGAAATTATATTAAAAATAGCTATAAATTATAATAACGTGTAAATAAAATAAAACTGAAACTGACTTATACTTTGCATTATGTATCGTAATTCAATGTGAATGAGAGAAAACCAAAAGTATTATTAAAATATAATTATTAATGACATAGCTTAAATGTTTGAGACGACACTGCGAAATTAATACAGTATTTAACAATGCTATTAGATTATATAGGTAGTAAGTAGAAGGTTCATACTACAAACCTATGCATTTAGTAAATTAATATTACTAAATTGTAATTGTTAATTGTTATTGTAAAATGTAAACACACGAGAAAAAATATGTTACAACAATGATAAGGGAAATGTTTAAAAAAACAAAATCTAGATAAGACAGGCATTTTGGCGCAATTTTTTTAACGTTATTCATACTATCACACCACGAAATAATCGAAAAAATCCAAATTCGTTTAATTCATGGCAAACGTTAGTACATCTCGTATATCTAATACCATTATTAATCGTTCTTAGTTTTAATAATTTACTATTTTTATTTTATTTTAATAATTAAAAATACAGTTGATTTTAATTTTAATGTTATTAACGTGTAGCATTAACTGTAATTAGGTACTAAATAATATGCTAATAATTCAACGTTCATGATATTATATACGAGGTACCTACTTACGAATTATAAATTATAATTACTTACTGGAAATTCAAGATTTAAAATAAAAAACTGAAATGCTTATTGATATTTTGTAGTTATCAAAAATGGACGTATATTTTCAAAACGTGCAAAGTTCTATGTTCTATGACAGTTTTACTTGAAATAATATACGTAGAATGTTTCACTATATTATTCTGCCTAGTACCTATTAGGCATTCGTGAAACGATGTAAATACTAAATATTATATAATTTAAATATGTTATTTATAACTAATATTAAAAAAGTTTATTAAATAATTTCAGAAAATGAGCAAACACTCATAAGACTTCTGAGATATTTGCTTAAATTAGTCTTTGAAATACCAATTTTCAATCATATGCACTAATTTTAAAGTTAATTTAGAACCATTGGTGAAAAAAAGCCCACCAATCCCCCTTAAAAATTATTATATTCCAAAAAAATTAAAATATTGTAGTTTCATTTTCAAAAATATTTTTTTTTTAAAATTATAGCAAACATAATATTTTTATATTGTAAATTTATTTATATTAACTATGTTAAAATCAGGGGTGAATCCAAGAAAGCAATCGCCTGGCCATTCATCCCTAAAAATATGTATATCTATATAATATATTAAATGTTTAGATTATTTTCGTAGTTCATCACAACCAGAGTATTATAAAATTACAAAAAAAAATATAATAATTTATATTGTGTAGTGACTAGTGTGTTACATTGCCGTCTTCTATTGTAAAGGTAGAAAGAAATTTTTCGTCTTTATGTCAAATTAAAACTTGGTTAAAGGCTAGAATGAAAGTAGAAAGATAAAAATTTCAAAATATAATTAACAGATTTTGGAAAAAAACTCAATTTTGTATTATAAAAATATAAGCACTTTTTATTTATATATATCGAATTATGTAAATTTATAAAATCGTTTTTTTCATTAATAAAACAAAACTGTTTTGTAAGCTATTATTTTTTTATTTTTCTTAGATATTAATATAGCATCATATTTTAAGTACCTACTTAAAAATAATTATTTTAAAATGTTTTTTTTAATCCAATTTTTACTTTTATGTATTCCTATTTCCTGGAGGCAAACAAACCTTTTGTTACTTTTACGTATTAGGTATGTTATAATCTAGGAAACTTATTTGTAAGTATTAAGTCAATTTTGCCCCTCCCCCCGTGGAATATTTTTGAATCCATCTCTGATTGAAATAGATATATGATATATGAATAACAAAATAGGTAAATACAAAAATAAAATTTTTATTACTTTATATTTTAGGATTTATGAATTAAATATTAAATTAGAAATCACTGTTGCTAAAAATTTCATAGATAAAATAAAAATGATTTGAATATTAAAGTTTCAAAAAATACAATAAAAAAGAAATTTTCCCTAATTTTTATAAGATACTAATAGTAGCACTTACTTTATTAATTAGAAACATATGAGTGATTTTTTTCTAGTATGGGAAAAATGAAGTCATGCGTAAGAACTTATACGCACCATAAAAATCACCATTACAAATCTGTCTATTCTACACATGTCACATAGAAAGATTTTACAAATAGAATTGACAGTGAGAAAAAAAAGTATTTTAATTTTCAAAATTTTCAAAGGTGTGGTTGTAAAATAAAATATAAAGTATTCACAACTTATTTAGTTTTATTTTTTCTTATATTCCTACTATATGTATATTATTAAATGTCAAATATAAAAACAAAAAAATTGGGTAATAATTCTATATTAAATACTTGACATAATACAATTATTTGAAATTAATATATATATAAGATCAAAAATTTGTTAAGAATTATTTATGAGAGGGTGTGGAGGCGATGCCTCACATGCCACATGGCATAGGTTCATATTAAACATTAGAGCCCCCTCCTTTTTCAATAGAATTTAATTTCAGACATACCACTGAATATCTATCTTCATGACTTTTTACAATTGGATATTTAACAAATTTAATTGTTGTTTGAATATAAGTCACAAAAAACTGACAACATTAAATGATCATGTATGAATCCTACTAGATATATTATATCATAAGTGTGTTTAATCCTGTAAGGATAATATTCATTTTATTTCACCATAGAAATCATTCAACTAATATCCTATTTCATATAATCTGCGATTTGTGAACCGCACAAAAGACAAGGCTCAACCTATCGTCCACTATAATTAACGTCAAGGCCAAAGCACACACGAGTAACATGTTTGAAACTCTGAAAAACGCAAATAAAGCAGTTCTAAACTCTAAAACAACCGTATTCACTATTCAGTAAACATCCGGAAATAACGGACATTAACGATACGATTACATTATATAGTATAAAGTATAAAAGTTTAAAGTATAAACGTAAAGTAAAATGTAAAGTGTAATGTGTATACGAAATACGAATTTACAAAAACGTAACCGTCCGAAACCATAGTTGTGTTTACTGTTTATTCCTCCATGGAACGTCTAGAATGTTCTAGAACCATCGTTTCCCACCACTCATTCACTCATAACTACTAGGCCAATTTATATACACTCCGTGCGTTTGCCGACAACGGTGAACGAATTCATTATACTAGTGTCTCCCCACCACCAATCCTAACAAACACAAATCACTACCACTGCAAGCACTATTAGCACTACGGCTACGCTCTCGTCGTTCGACATCTTCCATTTTGTTCCTGGACACTATCCGTGATACTAGTCTGTGAGTATATATTTTTATTTTATTTTATCTCATTTTAAGTGTCCAAAATATATTCAATTTTATTATTAAAAGATTTCGCGACATAAAAAACATGATTTAATTCTAAAGCTAATACGTTGACTTAATTTTTTTGCGTAACAAAATTATAATAGCCTTTTTACAATATATTATGTCAAACAATTTTAAGGTTATATGCAAACATGTGCGATTCTATTGTTCTTCATGTTTTATTAAATATTTTGTTTTATCCTTTTTCGTTTTTCTATTACTGTTAGTGTTTTTCTGTTAAAGTTTGATTCCTTTTGCTTACCTTATTTTTATCTTGCACAGTCTGCCATTAATCCGTATAGGTAACCTATTTGTTCATTTCGTATTTCCCACACCTTATTTTTTTAGTTAACTCTAATATTCAACTAACGTGTTAACATTTATTGCTGTCCGTTTTATGACCATTCCATTAGTATTATTTCCTAGTTAACTGTTGGACCAAGGTCTGTATTTCATTATCGAGAACGGACCAAGTTAAAATTATTTAGCAGGAAATATTGTGACGTTAGAATTTTCAATTTATTGTCAAGTCATCTATATTTTTTTTATATAACCCTAGTTGTTTATAATATTTATCTGTTATGACTCATTACTTTTATAAAATAATTCTTTTAATGATGACTAATAGGACTGATATCTTCCCTTTTAATCAGTACGTTGCGAAGTATATAAAATGACTCTAAACGTACAAACAATTATTAATCATTTACATAAACAAACAGCTATTATAATTTCTATGATAATTTAACATAAGTTACCTATTATAGACATTTTTATATTGCTAATTAAAATGTAATGTTTTAAAATTGTGTAGCCATGACAAAAGGTTAAACAAACGCTGCTCTAAACTAAGGAATATGTGCTACATTTTATAATTTATATATTAAGAAATAAACAAATTCATTAGTTTCATTTATAATATTTGTTATGTATTTGGCTAGACTTGATTTTTAATTATTCTGTGACCTTGTTATTGTACTGAATACATAATTTCAATGTTAGTGTATCTTTTTTATAGAATAATGATTTTTTTTTTTTTAATAAAGGACTTTCTGTCAAACTCAAGACTTTCATATATTCCTTAATACAAATACACTCCATATCAAGAAAAATGGCCAAAACTCCTGCTGTTGGTATTGATTTGGGTACAACCTACTCGTGTGTAGGTGTTTTCCAACACGGCAAAGTAGAAATCATTGCCAATGATCAAGGAAACCGTACTACACCAAGTTATGTCGGTTTCACTGACACAGAACGTCTCATTGGTGACGCTGCCAAAAACCAGGTCGCCATGAACCCCAACAACACAATCTTTGGTAAATCTAAGGCTGCTAGTATTTTTATGGATATTTTAATGTATTAATATTTTAATATTACAGACGCCAAGCGATTGATTGGTAGACGTTTTGAAGATTCTACTGTACAAGCTGATATGAAACATTGGCCTTTTGAAGTAATCAGTGATGGTGGTAAACCTAAAATCAGAATTTCTTACAAAGGAGAAAACAAAGTCTTCTCCCCAGAAGAGGTAAATATTATATTTGATTAAAAGATGTAAATTATTAAATGTTAATTTTTTTTTAATTATGTATTAGGTTTCGTCTATGGTTTTGACCAAGATGAAAGAAACCGCCGAAGCCTATTTAGGAAAAACAGTAACTAACGCTGTTATCACTGTACCTGCCTATTTCAATGATTCTCAACGTCAAGCCACCAAAGATTCTGGTACCATTGCCGGTTTGAACGTAATGCGTATCATCAATGAGCCTACAGCCGCTGCCATTGCATACGGTCTTGACAAGAAAACATCTGGAGAACGTAACGTGTTGATCTTCGATTTGGGTGGTGGTACTTTTGATGTATCAATCTTGACCATTGAAGATGGAATATTTGAAGTCAAGTCGACTGCCGGAGACACTCATTTGGGAGGTGAAGATTTCGATAACAGAATGGTCAATCACTTTGTACAAGAGTTCAAACGCAAGTACAAAAAAGACGTGACCACCAACAAAAGAGCGCTGAGACGTTTGAGGACTGCCTGTGAACGCGCTAAGCGTACCCTTTCCTCGTCTACTCAAGCAAGCATTGAAATCGATTCATTGTTTGAAGGAGTCGACTTTTACACATCCATCACTCGTGCCCGTTTTGAGGAATTGAACGCCGATCTTTTCCGTAGCACCATGGAACCGGTAGAGAAATCTCTGCGCGACGCCAAGATGGACAAATCTGCCATTAACGACATTGTATTGGTCGGAGGTTCTACCCGTATCCCCAAAGTACAGAAATTGTTACAAGACTTCTTCAACGGCAAAGAATTAAACAAGTCCATCAACCCCGATGAAGCTGTTGCCTATGGTGCTGCAGTACAAGCTGCCATCTTGCACGGAGACAAATCTGAAGAAGTCCAGGACTTGCTGTTGTTGGACGTCACTCCTCTGTCATTGGGTATTGAAACCGCTGGTGGTGTGATGACTGCTCTTATCAAGCGTAACACAACCATCCCCACTAAACAGACACAAACTTTCACCACTTACTCTGACAACCAACCTGGAGTCTTGATCCAAGTTTATGAAGGAGAACGTGCCATGACCAAAGACAACAACTTATTGGGCAAATTCGAGTTGACTGCTATTCCCCCAGCACCACGTGGAGTCCCCCAGATCGAAGTCACCTTTGACATTGATGCTAATGGTATTTTGAACGTCAGTGCTATTGAGAAGTCTACCAACAAAGAAAATAAGATCACCATTACCAATGATAAAGGACGTTTGAGCAAGGAAGATATCGAGCGCATGGTTAATGACGCTGAAAAATACAAAAATGAAGATGAACAACAAAAGAATATCATTGCTGCTAAGAATGGTTTGGAATCTTACTGTTTCAACATGAAGAGCACAATGGAAGATGAAAAAATTAAGGACAAGATCCCAGAAACTGACAAAACCACAATTTTGGATAAAGTCAATGATACTATCAAGTGGTTGGATGCTAACCAACTGGCTGAAAAAGAAGAATATGAACACAAACAAAAAGAATTGGAAGCCATTTGCAACCCAATTATCACTAAATTATATGCCGGTGCTGGTGGTGGTGCTGGTATGCCAGGTGGTCCCGGTGGTATGCCTGGATTCCCAGGAGCTGCTGGTGCTGGTGGTCCTGCTCCAGGTGCTGGTTCAGGAGCTGGTCCAACTATTGAAGAAGTTGATTAATCTATTTACAATTCAGCACATTCCTACATCGTTTAAACACCAACAAAGAACATGTAATTTTTTTTTCTGATGCATTTACTTTCTATTGATAATAAAAATAATCATCAACAGTTAATTGATTTATTTTTTTCTTTTCTAACCCTTAGAGTTTTATTTTATAATTAGTAATTACTTGCAAGTTAACTTTAAAATAAGGAAAACCAGTAATTTTCGGTGAATGATACATCTTTGTTTCATTGTATTTAAATGATGTATCATGGTTTCTTTATACAAATTGAAGGAAGTAATTTTAGAAGATTATTTTTATTCTAGGTTTGCAATATAATCTAAAAACATGGTTAAATCAAGTAACAACTTGGTCGTTCTAACTAAATTATTGTATTTTAAGTTATGCTTGAAATTTTAAGATTTATGAATTTCATCTTGTGGAATACATTTTCTATTTAACTTTGTTATTTAAGAATAATTATTGTATTGCATGTAATTTATATTCAAAATTATAAATGAAACATGTTGGGAAGTGATTACCACTTGTCTGTACGTTAGATGTGTCTAGTTTGATCACCTATGTAACGTAAATTAAATTTTAAACAAAAAACGGTCCATCAGCCTTATGTTACCAAAATTATATTTAATTTTAATATACTAACATCTTATAAAAATCAGACAACAGTAAAAAATTCCTACATAAAAGTTCTCACGAATTAAAAAAACTAACAAAATAATTATTAACATCGCTACTTTATTATATTAAAATAATTGATTTCGTCTAAATATGAACTTGGAAACGTTTATAAGTATGTACATTTTAAATGTTATATTTTCAGTAACTAGTACTTTAAAATAATTAACAATAAATTGTAAAAATAAAAAAAGTTTTAATGAAAACTACAAAATGTTAACTAATTAACTTCATATATGTATATAAAAAAATGTGCAGATAAGAATGTATTTTGTAGGATCTATTTAATTTTAAATTATTTCTACCAAGTAAATAATTGTTAATTGATAAACTACATACAAATAAATTCAAATTTCTTTTACTTATAAAATTATAAACAACTTAAAAATATTCAAAATATGTTATTAATAGAAAACGATAATTTTAACATTTAACGAAAAATGGGTTTGCATAAAAATTCCCGTTTTCCTTAGTATTTTGTTTGTTTTTCCCAATTGTAAAAATAAGTACTGGTATTTTTAAGTTAAATCTTGTTTTATCGATATTCGTCATGTTGTACATAAAATAAGAAACACATAAATCATTAAATTCATTGCTACACTCAGAATCTAAAAGGAAATATTACAATTTACCACCTATGTATAATTAATAGAAATATGATTATTTCATTACTGATTTAATGTGATTGATTATTGATATTAAAATATTTTTTATTTGATGTAGTCTACTAATTAAAAGACTTAAGTACTCCGTGCTATTAAAACTTGTTTTGGTATTGGATTTTATTGAAATTATCAGTGGCGCAAACTAGGTGGTGCAACCGTGCAACAACCAATAATGTTGGTACAAAGGTGTGTTTTTGCACCACCAAAATGTCATAGAAATAAAAATTTGTATACCTATGATATTATTTTTAATTTTGTAACTATCTTTTTTTTGTATAATATAATATATATACATAAACAGGTACAAAATTGTAATTTTTGTGCATGTATTAGACTTCATAAATTAAATTTTTATCCCTATCTATATTCTAAAATTGTGTAACCGCCATAGATAATTAGATTATTATCTATGGTAACCACAGAATTCTGTGGTTACTAAATAATTATATTATTTTTTTTATAAATAATTCAAATGTATTTATTATTTAAAGAAATATATAGTTTATTAGGAAGGATTTTACTTAGGAAGTTGGATTATAAGTAGTTTCGGAAATTATAAATTGAGAATATATGCTTCTAGAAATTGCCAATTGGGTTCAATTTACGCCACTGGAAATTATCCATTTTTAAGTACAGAACTGTAAGCGAGTTGCTTATTTAGGGGAAAAGGTTAAATAAGCTTCAGATATTTCAGATTCTTGGTGTTCATACCAATCTACCAAATTATCAATAGATGTATCAATTAAATGTAATAATGGACCTATATATCAAACAAAAAATATAAATATAAATTATAGTAGGTATCCTGTATCCGTCTATTTCTAGGCGGAAAAAGTCTAACTACCGATCTACTAGGTACTATGGCATTATGCAAACATATATAATTAGGTTATATATAGGGGCCATGATGGTTTAAAAGTATCCCTATACTATGTATATAATATATTATTGTTTTATCGCGATGGACTAAATCATATTTAGTATAAGTATTTTTTTTTTAATTTTGATTTACCTCGCATTATATACATAGATATAGATATATGGATTGTCTGGTTAAATAGGTATATTATATATATATATATATATAAACATGTTGTGGGCCCGCGTGAACTCTCGGACAAGGTCTTGTGATTGTACAAAATACCTAAAATGTATCCTAGCAACGGCATATTTATATCTGTATTGGTGCAGGTGGTTGGTTTTGAGTGTTTAGCTATATACCTCTATAAGCTCTGCGTTCCCTGTACAATGTGGTGTCTTCGTGCCGCATTGTGCAGATCAATATAATATCATACGAATATAGTACCTCCTAAGTCATATTCCATAGTGTCGCGTACACTGTTAACTATACGCTCGTCGCTAATAGAGCATAGCATAGTCTAAAAACACGGACGTGCCTATACCGACATATATGTGTATCAGAGCTTGCGCTAATGGGTAGTTCTAACCAATATGGGTAGTTCTAAATTAAAATGGGCAATTCTAAAAGCCAATTTGGTCATTACCAAAAATCGTGAATTTTCTGTATTATTGGCATATTATGTAATATTGTTTAATTTAATTATAATATGTATTTTATTTAATATTTTTTGTTTGGTTTTATCACCACAAATGTTATCAATCATGAATCCATTCCATAACATTTATTATCATATACATGTAGAAGATTGTATAATTTATATGATAACACGAAGCAATTCGAGCAATACAGTACTAATAATAATGTGACCATTCAATATTTAAACTCCGACCATAATTACCAATAACACAGAACAATATAGTATAATATAGTATATGAATTACATACTTGGTAAAAACTAAAAGTTTATAACGGGTAATAAATACCACAGCTGATTTCTATATAGTATAAGATATCTGTGATAAATATTAAATACATAACTGTCACAATGTTTAAATATTGTTAAAAAAAAAAAAAAATGTTTTAATTTGTTATTATTATTAATTGTAATAATGTAATGAATAAAGTTTTGAATAAAGAATTTACATGTGTAGTCATTTTATAGTAAATAGTGGTTGTTAAACGAATTTAGCGAACGGCAAATTTAGTTAATCTGCATGTACAAAAATATTAAAATGTTGGGCAGTTCTAAAATTTTCTTAGCGCTAGCTCTGATGTGTATATAGGCATGTAATATTGTCACAGCCGCAAATACGTATCCAACATAACGCTGTTATATTTACGCCGCGTATATTCATGAAGAAATGACAATAAACCAACATGAACAGATACATGACTCTGAATCAGCTTGGAGACGGCACGTATGGATCAGTCGTGTTGGGACAAAACATAGATACAGGAGAAAAGGTGGCCATTAAAAGGTAGATGAAATTGTACATGCATATAACATTATTGTATTATCTAGCTAAATATACATAATCAATGTAGAAATAAAATTTTGATAACGAAAAAGACACAAAAATTCTCCCTAAAATAATCGAAAAAATCTACTTCAATCAGTGAAAAAAATCAATTTAAAAAATAAATAATAATTATTATTACAGGTATGGGTGAAATAATGGATGTTAGGATAATTAAAACATGAATTATAAATCAATACATAATACTAAACATTTCAATTATAAGTAAAAAAAATATATAAAATTTATAAAAATTAATTAAAAAGTAAATAGAATTAAAAATATATATCAAAAATATTCGAAATGTTTTTCATTGTTTGTCTAAATGGAATCACTGAAAATAAATAAAAAAATAATTTAAATAATTTTCGAATAAAAACTAAAATGACCTTATTTTTTTTTACCTACCTTCTGTTACATAGTAACTACAATTAATGTTGTCTAATGTTTTCAAAAGATGATGACGTCGATCAATAAATGTTTGTATGATGAAAACTTCGCTCGACATCAATACGAACGTTATGGGTCCATACTTCTATTAGATCATGTCAGCAGTAGTTAGATCTTCTGATGAATATCTACTCCTCGTGTGCCTTTGCTAAGTTTGCTATCTAGCATTTCAAATATATTAAATTACAATTTAAAATCCATTATTTTTAAAAATTACTTTCTCCATTTTAGTTGACATTGTTTGTTCCATTTTATTTTGGACTTTTTGGTTTAAAAACTCAATTTTTTTATGAATTTGTTTGACTCTGATTATCACACCCCGGACGTTTCCAACTGCATTATTTCCGAAGGAATTCAAAATAAGATTTTAAACAAATTAAATTTGTTTCCAAACTTGGGTTTAACTCTTGCTTTTGAGCTTTTAATTACGAATGAATCACTTTTGTCTAATTCCAAAATCACTTTTTTATATCGGATAAAATAAATGTTCTTAATAATAATTTGCTGTTTTATTTACTTATAATTTATAAGTTATATAATACACTTGTTATAATTTATAGCATGCAAACTGCAAACTTGTATTAGTACAATATTTTTTAAACATACAAATTCTCTTTAAAATTTAAAATTTCAGAAAAATACCCCACATTATACAAAAACAATAAAAAATGTTCTATAATATAAAAAATGACGTTAAAAAATAAAAAATAAAAATATTATATTCTAAATTAAAGAAGCATAAAACGAATTTTTAACTAAAATAGCATTCTTTTAGGATCAAAGGAAAAATAATTATCATATTCTTCAAAAAATGTTATTAAAAAATAATAATTGTACATTATAATAAACTGCATACCAATCTCGTATAAAAATGTGTTTATATACATGATGCATACGTGATGGATCATAGATAAAAATTTATCCCCGTTTCATAAATTACTACCAAAATTAACCTAAATAAACAAATACAAAAAAAATAAAATACCGGTATTTAAGTGGTGAAAACTTAAATACCTTTCTACGTGTATCTATAACTCGTTAACTCCTAGAGTTATTTGATTTTCATAAGTTATTGTACATTTGTACCTAAGAAATATTTTCTTAAATATTTATTTGAGTAATACTATGGACATTCCGCAGTCACGCATAGTCCGAAAAATATATTTAAAATATTAACATTAACACAATTTAATTACCAGACATGTTTGAAGTTATTACTATAAATTAAATCATTTACTGCAGTACTCCATTAGATTTAAAAATACCAATAATATATATTATAAAACTAATATTATACATGTTTATTTTATAATGAATCCGTATAGTCATATTAGTATTATAGCTTATAATTATTAGATACTTTAAATGATTATAGTACATACTGCTAAATGTTTTAAAATACTATATTTTGATCGTAGAGTGTTTAAAAATGTATTTAATTATTGCAGAATGAAAAGAAAATATTATTCTTGGGATGAAGCAATGAATTTGAGAGAAGTTAAGGTAGGTGCTCACTATACTTTATGCAAAGTACTGAGTTTTATCAAATATTGCAATATTTTTTTCAGTCTTTGAAAAAATTAAATCATGCTAATTTAATAAAGCTGAGAGAAGTCATTAGAGAAAATGATACTCTTTATTTTGTATTTGAATACATGAAAGAAAATCTGTATCAGCTTATGCGGAGTCAAAGCAAATTTTTTCCCGAACAGTCTATCAGAAATATACTTTATCAGGTAAAATTTGTATAATATAATATGTTATATCATACAAATATTAGGTATAAGTGTTTTACATTATTATAGCTTACTCTGAATCAGAATAGCTCAAATTTAAAGAGGAAATAAAAATAAAAGTTATTGATGCACATATCCTTATGTTTCATAATGTTTATTAATATTTTTATTTAATCCATGTTTTAGTAATAGCCACTTAAATTAATTTAATATATTAGTTTATACTTTCATATAAACCACATTATGGTAAATAGTAATATTTAGATGATAAAAAACAATATTCTAAATCTATTCGATTAATATAATAATATATTCTATAAATAAAATTAAAAATCGACACTATACATGTATTGTAATATATAACCACGGCTCATCCTTTATTATTTATTATTTTAGGACAATTTCCCAAAAAGTATTTTTTTCATTTTTTCATTTTATACATTACACGCATTCAATTATTATTTATTTAGATTTAGGTTAAAGCTAAACATAATCTAAATTTATTATGTACTTATAAAATTACAGTATAATTATATTGTATGCTATTGTCTACAACTACCCCGAACAATAAACATTGAAAAATTTGCGTAATAGCTGGAAATATTAAGATATCTGGAAACTAATATTTTGTATAATAATTTGTGAAAATAATATCAACTTATAAAATTTCTAGTTATTGGGTTTAGCTGTTGGTCGTCATCTCGTCAAAGCTAATACAGTTTTAGTACAAATACTTGTTTTACTGGAAAATCTCTTATGATTCGTGAAATAATATTTATTTTTTTTTTAATGATAATTTATATGACTTTGGTTTTAATAACCAATCTATTAAATTATACTAAAACAAATCTAAATAGACAATCATGAATTATTAAATGTTTTTTACTATTTTTCTGAAATTATTTAAAGTTAATTTAAAAACCTGAGTTCAATAATACGACGCGTACTTGAATAAAGTTTTTTCTTTCAAATAAAACTATTATGATCAAAATCTGATTATTTTACGAATCGTTATCATTTTTCCTGTAAGATAATTTTTATTTTTTAAATGGTTTTATTTTATTATTCTTTCCATACGACCTGTATAATATTGCCTACATTTTTCCGCTTAATATTCATAGCTCAAACACCCTCAAGGAGATTCGATACCAACCGCTTTTGAAAATATCAATTTAAACAACTTTCTTAGTATGTACGTTTGTGTATTTCATGTAAATGTGTGTGTAGTAATAACGTGTCATTCGTGAATATTATGGTTGTAATGAATAGCGATGAAACACTCTCTCCCACACGTGTCAAAAACGCACCATCGCGAGCTGGACGAATATTGTATGTTTTTTTTTTGTCTACAAGCAGCACAAGCTATCAATATCTTAAACAATTGTGTTGACTAATATAAAATACAATTTCTGAAACCAAATTTTAATTTATAATGAGTATACCTATACTCAAAAACGACTTTCTTAAAAAATTAAAGACCAATTCAAATGATTTCATAATAATTTTATTCGATTATTACTGTATTTAATCAATACAATATTAGCATAAGAATATATTCAAATAAATAAACTTTGGTGGAAAATACAGCCAGAATCGAATCCCTCTCAAGTACTCTTAAAATATAATTTTAAAAATTCGTTAAAATAATTCTATTAGAATATCTTTGAGATTAAATTGTGATCGAAATTTAGATTTGGGCATATCCAAGTATTCAGATTTTGTTCCCATTCTTAAACTACAAATAAATTATGTATACACTATACATGTATATATATCTAATAATAATCTAAAGCAATTCCATTGCTCTGCATACGTATAATTATTTTATTCAAAGATATTGCAAGGATTGGCGTTCATGCATAGACACGGTTTCTTTCACCGGGATATGAAACCGGAGAACCTGCTGTGCTGCGGTCCCGAGTTAGTCAAGATCGCTGATTTTGGTCTGGCCAGGGAGACTCGGTCGCGTCCTCCGTACACCGACTACGTGTCCACTCGATGGTATCGTGCGCCAGAGGTGTTGTTGCATTCGATCAATTACAGCACACCGATCGACTTATGGGCCGTCGGCTGCATCATGGCCGAACTGTACACGTTCAGGCCGTTGTTTCCGGGCACGAGCGAGATCGATCAAATATTCAAAATATGCTCGGTCCTAGGAACGCCTGATAAGGTACTTATAGCTAGTGTTAGAAGTGTGATACGACTCCAGATTGCGTATTATTTATAAATTTATCTACTTGCATAATATACTGTACCTATAGTTACATAAAATATTAAAATGTCATTACCTGATTCACAAGTCGTAACTATCATAAAAATATCACGTTCGAAAAGTTACCCAATTTAGGTTAAAAGTATTAAGTTTTAGTACTCATTAAAAGTTAGAAATCTGAGTTTTTAAGTTATTTTCTTCTTACCCAGTGATATTCCCATCAAATTTGTTGAGGGTACCTATACTTGGCACAATTTTAACATTTCAATTAAAAACATTAGGGTGCTAAAAAAAAAGATTTTCTATGTACTTACCATGTGACGTAATTTTAATAATAAAAATAATTTTGTAATAAAATTATATTTGGTATATTCAGTAAAATAATGTCGTCACCATTAGGTACATTAGATAAGCATTTTTTAAATTATTATTATTATCGGTATTGCCAATTAATTATATATTATGTAATCGTAAATTCTATTCGACAACAAACAATGAACGCCATCATAGTGTACCTACAGTTTTCACCAGCCTGAAATAATTTGCGTAACCAAAAAATATATTTTATTTTATTTTCAATAAAAATATAAATCACTCACTACGAAAACAATAACAATTTTTTCGCAAATTTATTGAAATTTTTAAGTATACACAAAGTACACCTATTATTTTATAAAAAAATCTTGAGAGTATAACAGCGTATATGCAGTATACCCTATGGAAACACCATTATATATACCTAATGCTGATACATTTTTGAATCGAAAAAATATATTTTTCATTTTAATAATATGCTATAATCAAGTACTAAATCAATTCGACATAGAAAAAAAATTAATTTGTCATCATCACATGATAAATATGATATTGTTGTAAGGTATACCTACATCAATTACATCTATGTATATAATTATTAATGCTTTATAAAATAAAAAAAAATAAAAAATAAAAATAAGAGAGCTCTATATTTAGGTAAGGTATGTAGATACACGATTTAAAGCACTCAAGAATTAACTCCATACACCTACTCAGTAGATACTCATTCATTCATGGTAAACGTGATTATTTTTTATTTTTAGGGATTTGTGGACCGAAAATGATTGAGATTTACTTAATACCATATAGATTGGTTGATTGGTACCACATAAATCTATATCTAATACACATACATGTACATTAATTATCAAAAATTAAAATATATTAGCAAAAGTATCAGTCAAAATTATTTGTATTCAATGGCATTGCAGACAAATGTAAATAAATAAATATAAATTGTGTTCTAGTTTTTCTATGTACATATTATAACTTTCTTGTACCTATTACGAATATCTATAACAGAATAATTCAATGAAATATTTCGATGTGTTTATTTATAACATCGATACCTATATATATGATAAGAATAGCAATTCTTGTGCCTTGCAATTTCTGCATTTTCCAATTCTAGCATTATAGTTTATAATTTATTATTTAACTTATTAGTTTAATATTTGTTATTTGGTACCTCATCTAAGAAATGAATGTTCAGAAATTCAGAATGAGTGCCTACTTATATGACTAGGTATTAATTATTTATTTAGATATTATCATAAATAATATAATGTATCCAAATAAAAATATTGATGAAACATAAATAATATTTTTACGATTTAAATCATATTTTATAAACAAATAAACGGTTGTCGATTAAAATATATATATATGTATATATAATATAATAAAAGGAATGGATTCGATTTTTAATAATAAATTGTTTAAATAAAATATATGAAATCACGCAATATGCGTGTCTCGACGGCTAATTTTTATTATAGCTTTAGAACCCTATAGACAGAAATTAGCAACAATATTATTTGAAAATATTTTCTATTGGTTATTATACGGAAGTATCAGTTTGTATCAGACACTGATAAATGATTACGGAAGTATTATTACATATAATTTTTGACCTTTTGAACTTTTGACGTGACTGCTATGTAATTTTTATAATAAATTGGGGTGCACATAAACGGGTACTTACAAAGTAGGTAGTAACTAGGATATCTACATAAGATAAAGCAAAAAAAAAAAAAAAAAATGTGTATAAGTACCTATCTTAACAATTATGATATAAAAATACCTTTGTTCACCATGCGTTTTTTTGGTAAACTTTATAATAATCAATATTATTCAAAAATATAATAATCAATATTATTCAA